ATCAATCAATTGTCTCCAACTCCACTGTTTCTTTTGCAAATATCAGTTCATCGTCTCAGATCTCATCGTTCCTGCATCTTCATACCAATTATTTTCCATTCCCGTTCTTTCCTTCCCGATCTTCTACTGAAATACATTCTATGTCTGACTATTTTTATATACTACCTATGTGTATATAAGTAGCGCATTATAACTTTTGCTTATATTTACAAAAGTGAAAGGATATGCTTTGTTGTACAATATGATTGATTAGATGTGAAATTTTCTAAATATGATTTGCAAAGTTAAGTGATATGAACCCTTACACACTAATTGACTATACATTGTTACTAGTCGCGTTGAAGTTTGGAACAGATACAGAATTAGGAATAGATGACGACGTTTTAATTAGTAATTCATCAATGTTAAGTTTAAACTAAACAATTCTACGGTCTCGCATATTTAAAAAGTTTTGGATTCGTAAAATATGTAGGTTTATGTTCTTTATTCTTTCTTTAGTAGGATGTATAGATTTCCTGAAGAACCTTGCTGCCTTGTAAGTTAATTTTATATCTTATTTTTACCAAGCGAACTGCTTTATTCAACCACCTGGGAACTGACTTATCACTGTTTAGTAACTAATGTCGTTTTTTAACCGTTTATTTGCGCTGATCGTATTCCATCAATGAGGTTGAAGTGTGGTCTCAAGTCCAAGTGACTGGATTTCACGTGGTGGTTGGAAATAGTCGACAAGAAATCCTGCTTAGTCTGGATTTTGTTCTGTTCAACAAAATATACCAGTAACCATGAGAGAATTGATGCTTTGTGGTGAACCTAAATAAGAATATTTCGGTGGTATTGTTTCGAACTGTAAAGTTGTGTGACACGATACACATTGCTGATGAGTGTCGAATAGTACGAAACCTAGATCCATAGCTTCCTATTGACTACCGGACTTGTTTATTCATCATAACATCTAAGTGCTGAAATAACTCTATATATACAGTAGTTCATTCATTAGATTTAGTTTTGCAAAATCAATTTTGATAAATGTTCATTTATATCGTACCTTTAACTTATATTTATGCCAAGTCCAAATTATCTTTTGTACAAACCATACTTTTCTCCCTTGTTAGTTTGGTTCATTTACGTTTCCTCTAATTTCTGGCTACAGCAAGAGGTAATTATAATGTCTGTTCAATGTTTCTTAGTTTATTTCAATTAACTTCCATCTACGTTTTTTTGATTCCTATTATGGTGTGCACTACTGCTGATATAAGTAGTATTTATCATCAGTCGGAAGTGGGATGCCTAACGGCAGAGATTGAGAAGATCGGAGAGGAGAGAATGAGAACAGAAAGTGATTGGTATGGAAATGAACAAACAATCAAGTGTCAGACAATTGATGGATATTTTGTAAATGAAGTATTTACTGTATGGTTCTCAGATTCTAACAAGATAGTCTGTAATTTTGTGTTCAGATACGCCTGGTTTTCCTCACCTGTGTTCTCGTTCACTACCCTTACTCTGACGGCAATGCTATGGTCATAGGATTATAATTTATAATTGAAAGTCAATCATTTATTGGTTTTCTATGATTCCTTCTGTTTATCATCTGTTAGTCTTATTAATATATGGTGTGCTTATTTGGAATCTAGAACTTTCTCTTCATACATTGGCATCGTAAATGTATTGATTTTTATGTCATTATTCTGTCTTCTTTCAACTCAAATAGTCTAGAAATACTGTATGGTTGAAGATGATCGACTGAAAACCCTGAATCTAGGTTTAAAACTATTTGACTTCAAACTGCAAGATGTACTTATAATTTTGAGGGAACTGATTCTCCCTGATTGATTTAAGCCCATCTTTGATTGTAAAATTGGACAGTGTAGTCACGAATCCACGAGAGATCATCATTTGTCTTAAGATTATTTGTATATCTTATTGACAAGTGCCATCTAGCTTGAAACCTAGATGAAGTATGGTTTCTTGTTAGATACCTTCAATCACCTCACACGTGATATCGGGTCACTCCGAAAACTTCATTGATCGAAATCAGTCTGCAGTACTAGACGAATATATAAATATGATATTGGTTACTAGTCAGTATTCAAATAATTGTGAACGAAGATGAATTGTGGCAAGCAGTGGAATTCACGAAGCGCTTTTCTTCCTATTTAGGACTCGTCAGCTAGATGTACCTACATCTCAGAGTTGATGTTTACTCTGGGACTTCAATCCAATAATATTCACTACAAACATCATTGCGTTATCCACTTATCCTGACGAAACGCATGTCAAACTGGATTCCACTGCTAGCCACTACCCATCTTTTCTTATAAAGATTATGACTTCAGGGTTATATCGAGGCAATTCGTACAGGATGCACATATGCCAACAAGAGACTGATCAATTGCATTTCTAAAGAACAATAAGAAGATACAAGTAAAACAATATCAAGTGAAAATACTTGTGAATCTAGACATGTTTATAGCCTTTCATTGACGTTTCTATTCTTTAGTAAATTCATCATTATCTCATTATTGTTTTATTTTTTTTTACCATAAAAGATACATTTATCATTCACCATTAAATAATTCCATTACAATTCCCCTTTATCAAGAATATAAAAAATACGTTAGTAACAACAATGTAATTACACTTTACACCTCCCCCCCAATAACAAAACCAATTACATTTCATAATAAAAACTCTGTATATTTGCTTAACTCCTCAAGGCGAAATCTCTCTTCTGGGATGGTAATGATAATAATGATAAGTAAATAAGAAAATCTTCACAAGTACTTTTAACAACAAAATATATCGTGTGATTTTGTTATTTTTCCATGTAAATATTGTTGAGTGGTGGATGATTGGAGTTAACTAACAGGAAACCCTAGATCTAGGTATCATACTGTTTGGCATTCATCAACAAGATATACCTGTAATTTTGGGATAATTGATGCTTCTTGATGGATTTGATTCTATGTTATCCAGCTTTACAGCCAGAGAGTATATCACTGAACTATTCGTATAAATGTTACTTTAGACAGTATTATAGTTTCAAGTACTTATAGTTATGAATGAAGTAACCATAGTGAAGTGAAATCATCAGATATGCTTCACACCATTATTCTTTAAAACTTGCTGTAGTTAATCTGACTTCTTTAATGGAATACTATCAAACTATTGTGTTGTTTCACTTCAAGGGATCTGTTTCGCTATATTTCTTGACATAAAACATTCATCTGCTTTAAATTCTCACTATAGGGGTTGTCGAGATTGTTGAGCTTTAATTAGGATCATAAATGGATCGATGTTAGACCACTACTGAAAACCTAGAAGCACTGGAATGTCGTCTCGTCCTATACAAGGACGAGAGACGGAGACCATAGGCTTTGTATATGACAATAATGAAAATAACAACATCACTGTTGGTATTCCAAAACATTGTTTAAAGGAATTTTCAATTCACTAATTGCTGGGGATATCCAGAAAACTCCTCGAAAAAAGCAAAAAAAGGCTTTGAAAACATTGAGAAGCATCTTATCCAATCACTGTTCACAAGACATTCTGCCAGAAACATCTAGAAAGTGAAAAGTCACATGTTGAGTTTCTGATTCGATGATTACCTATACTGATACTACGTTTAGTAGAGTTTCAGAATATTCCGGAAACACAGGGACATCTAAAACACTATAAATACCCTATATTTTCTGTATATAAACAAACCTTTGGAGTAAAGCATTTTCTTCCATATTTCGTGCCTTTTCTCTCATGTTCCAGTTACTGTGTAGATCTAGCCTTGAGATTACTAGAAGAGCTTAGGAACCGAATCTAATGTTCACTAGACGACTTACGACTAATGAGATCTTCAAACAAATTGATGACGTCGCTATATGTTCAATAATTAGCCCTCTTCTAGAGGATTGTTTCATTGTCAATCTTAGGTACACAATACATCAACCAATGATTGACGACTTTCACTTATACAAAAGGTATATGGTTGACACTCTTATTATTTGTAATGAAAACACTGATCTCAATGTTATCCAGGATAAGTTCAATAATTGCCATAAAATCATAAAATAATCTCAATAGTTGAGATCATGAGTGAATTAAGTCTAGACCACCATGGAAAAATCTGGAAGCACTGGATAGCTGTTTTATCTTATTGTGAAACTCCTCTATGTTAGTGCGTATCCATGATCCCTCCTCGCAAGATTCAAACCGAGAATATAAAATATTTACATAAAAACTATAATATCAATATAAAATTCAATGATTTACAGTAGGTTTCTTTAAAAAATTTTTTATTTGCAACACTGAATTCATTATACTCATAGTCAACATACAGTATGTTATGTAATCAACTGTCATTTATCCATCACAGTATACTGTATTTAGATATTACGAATAAATTGCGAAATAGTTCCATCTCTCTCTCTCTCTCGCTCACTCTTTTTCTCAGTTGAGAAGGGGTAGTATCAACTTAACTAGAAAGTATTTAGGTACCACATTAGGGAGGATGATTCAATAAGATATTGATCATCAATAACTATATACATACCTTGAATAATAAGAAGAAAAATTACTTTCAATAAACTGAAGACATAAAAATAAACATAATTACCGGTTTACATAACAATTCCATCAACGAATTAGTTACCATGCAAATCATACACAAAAAAAACTGATCAATTTATAATATGATGAAATCACTTTGAAACTAGTTCCTTTTTTTAGAGCAAATTAAGAGAGGTAGGGGGTTGGAGAAGGGGGTGAGGGTGGGGTGGGGAAAAGTTTCAAATTCATTTCTATATCATAAAGTGGATGAATAAATTATTATTTTTTTTTTAACTTGGTTTATTTATACAAAAAAATATTCCATTTGTACATCAACAGAATAAAAATATTTTAAATAGTTTACAAATTGAAAGAAAGAAAGGAAAAAAATCAATAATTTTGATGATTTTTATTTGTTAGCGCATAGAAACTATTTAATCACTAAGATGTTTTCATAGTTTCATATTGTATAGCCTGAAATTCAATACAAATTTAATTAAACTATTCATAACATTCACTTGGAATTGTTTATTTAAATCTTTCCATTAATGTTTAGGACTGCAATTGATCAGTCTCTTATTGGCATATGTGCATACTGTGCATTCTAAGCAAAGATGGATAAATATACACAAGTACGTGGCTATTAGGATTCAGTAGATAAGTGGATAACGCAATAATGTTTGAAGTGAATGGTATTGGATTGAAGTTTAAGAGTGAACATCAACTCTGAGATGTAGGTACATCCAGCTGACGTGTCCTAAATAGGAAGAAAAGCGCGTGGTGGATATCACTGCTAACCACTATCCATCTTTGCTTTTATTATTAACATTTATAAATGTTAAATTGTACGGAAGGAATTCAGTTGTTAATGAATACAAAATATTATATTGTTAGCCGTTTGGTGTCATCCACTTTTTTGTGCCAACCTCAGTGTAAATATGGTTATTTAAGCTAGATCACTTGATATTTTACTGCAAATTAACACTGATGTGTTACTAGCCTCAAGAGAGAATTCCTGGATTCCTAGTGAAAAGCCATGACCAATGGATTTCAACTGTGTCTGCTGTGAGATAGTTACACATTGAACACAATGGAGAATGGTGGCGCAATACAGTGAATTGGTTGAAGTTAGACATTAACACTGTTGAATGCCGGCTCAGCGGTCTACAAGTTGAGCGTTTGTGCGTGATACCGAAGGTCCCGGGTTCGAGTCTCATGTGCAGGATTGTGGAAGTGCGATGCTGAGGAGTCCTATGCTAAGTTTAAACGGTCGTCCAATGTTTTCAGGTTTCTCATGGTGGTCTAGCATTGACTTATTCATGATCTCAATCAAGACTGATGTGTTAGTTGTATGAATCATAAACGCTTGCTTGATTTGGGCGTCACAAATTGTTTTCCATATGCACGAGACATAACTGACCTCAACCTTGATCACTACTTACTTACTTAAGCCTTTTACTCCTCGTGAAGCACAGGCCATCGACCAGGAATGTCAAACCTGCATTGTTCTGAGATCTCCTTTCTAGTTTTTATCAAGTGTTACTCATCCTTTTGATGTCTACTTCCAATTATCGGAGAAATGTGTCCTTTGTTTTCCTTTTTTTCCTATTACCCTAAGGATTCCACTCTAAGGGCTTGTTTCGTGATGCAGTCTGGTGATTCACGCTTGGAGCCCTACTAAGGTTACTGCCACTCTCAAGCCGGGATAAAGGAGAAGGGTTGGACATGGAGTCAGCAATCCTATCCCGTAGGAAAAATACTAGCTAAAAAATGCTAATGAGAAAAAAATCACTTGTTACGCTACACATTAGTGAGATCATGACGAATCAATAATAATTCTTAGTTCATTGCATAATACGCCATATATACATAATGTGAAATTTTTGTTTAAATACTAAACAGACAATATGCTATCAACTCGAATACAGTAAACCTAACATATATTATCAGTAAACTACATACCTTTTTCTTTATTTAGGAATTGTCCATTTTAGAATAATATGGTGGTGGGGGAGGTGGTAGTTCAGATAACGCAGGATATGGTGGTGGTTGATCAAAGTTAGGCGCCGACGATATCACTGCTGCTCCTGTTGGCATTCCATCTTGTGATGAACTAATTGGATATGGAGCCTGAGATGAACTCATTGGATATGGAACTTGTGATGAACCCGTCGGGTATGGGGCTTGTGCAGGAATATTAGTAAAATTTGAGGTTGGAGTTGGCTGTGATCTAGGTAAATGATTTCGCACTGGAGTTGATGTAGTACGTTGTCCTGTGAAAACGAAAGTGTGAAAATTATAAAATAAATTAAGCAAACAAAAGGTGTGAATTACAGTTATATTGATATTCCTAGTCAGGTAAAATTATATTATACCGACGGCTTTAGATTAACCAATCGGAAGCAAAGTAACGCCTTATGTATTTTGCACATTTGAAGTTCAATGATAGATAACTTGTATCTTATTATTGGCGAAATGAAGATTGACAACATCGGGTCCTTAAAGTGCTTTACGTCAATGGAAATATGTATTATGCAGCCAAAAAGTGAATTTAGGATGGTGCTAACTACATTACGAAAAATACCTGCTTCAAAGGAAGATTGTGTGTTAAGTCACCTGAAATGATTCAATGCGTAGTCAAGAGTGTTTATTGAAACTAGGCGGTATTCTACTACTCTAACTCTTACTCTAAATCTCAGCCCCAAGTTTCTTAAGTTTGTAAATAGGAAGATGGCGAGGTATCGGATTATAACTGATGTTAGTGTGTTATAGAAACCTCGACCCTAATTTCTTAACCCAAATTAAAACTCATAATATATAACCCTAATCTTTTGACATTATGATCAAAGTTAGTTGGTGACGAAAAATCTATGGGGGTAAAAACTCAAACTCACGATACTATTCCGACCTTTCCCTTCGCTACAAGAAATAATTTGACATGTGAGGGTTGATTGTTCAGATGAAAGCTATTATTTTATCGCTCTTTGTTGTTCATTCTTTAATAACCAGACAGCGTTTCCTGGTTGTCTGATAGGTCTCTCAAAGTCGTCAGTATGGTATAGATTTATCGGTAATTAATCAGGTACTGTTTGTTTTGCTCTCTATCACTGATGTTATGATTATGTTTAAATCATGATTTCTTGTTTGATGCCCTCTGTGGTCAGGAATTTAAAGTATATTACTGTATATGTTTTGAATCACAATCAATTTGAACAAAACAAGAAACTAATCTGTTTCCTATCCACGTCCTCTGATTGGCTACTGTGTTTAGAATGGTCTCGACCGCTAACTAGCGTTAAGGTTTTGAGTGTTTTTTTGGTTGGTGTAACAGTTGATACATAATAGGCTACTGGTCCTACTGGTAATACAAGTGAATTAATCGATAAATGAAGTTCTGAATGGGCAATATAGTACATGAAATTGATTAACGTTCTTAAGAGGCTATATATATATATATATATATATATATATATATATATATTGCTTCAAACTAAAACTGATTGCTCCATTCTTGAAGAAAATAGCTATACATTATGGCATTTTATAAAAAACTTCAGTATTTCGAGATGATTCTAAACCTTGTAAGCAAAGATGTGTAGTGGCTAGCAGTGGAATCCATGACGCGCGTTTCGTCCTAGTCGGGACTCGTCAGTTGGATGTACCTTCATCTCAGAGCTGGTGTTCACTTTGGGACTCAAACCCAGTACTATCCGCTACTGAGTTATAATAGCCATCTACTTGTGCGATGAGGTGAAGTTTAAATTCACTTGGTATTATTTACTTGAATCTCCCATTGACGTTTAGGACCGGCGTATGTAGATACTGTGCGTATGCATCTTTGCTTATAATGCTTGTGAACTAGGGTAATATCGAGGCATAGAATTATCACAGTTCATAGAATTACTATTATAAAGAAATGATTATTATGCAAAACATGTTTCAAATTAAATCACCCAATTATGTTTCTTTTGAAATTTTCATTTACATACAAATGGTACTATTTTCTGTTTAAAGATTATCAACGAAACATCATTCTAACGTTAAAAATGAAATAGAATTGATAGTGCGCAGAATTTTTCTGGTTAGGGTTTTTCTAGCGAGTTAGCTTTCTACGGGATGGGGTCGCTAACCCCATGCCCAACCCTCCTCCTTTGTCCGGGTTTGAGACCGGCAGTAGCCCACGAAGGGGCTCCAGGCGGAAGAAGCACTAGAATTGGATAGGACACACATTGAGGAAAGTACCCAACTGTGTCACAGAGCAAGAGCTCATATGGAATTCTGAAGGCCGAAACAAAAGAGGAAGACCAAAGAACATATTACGCCGAGAAAGGGAGATAGACATGAGGAAGATGAACAAAAATAGGATAAAACTAGAAAGGAAGACTCAGGACAGAGTGGGTTGGAGAATACTGGTCGGCGGCCTATGCTTCATTCGGAGTAACAGGTGTAATTAAGTAAGTAAGTGCACAGAATTTATAGAGATTGTTATGTTTCATAGTTTACGTCACGAAATGATCTTGGTTAGGCAACCGTTAAAAACTAGGAAGTATCAGCACGATTATTTGTTCTAGTATGGGATTGTTCGACAGCAATATACATCCATAACCCCATTACAGGGGACCGAAATCAGGACCTTCATATGAATACCTAATCATCTGACCATAAAATAAGCATACACTAGTCCACATTGTTACGTCTCAGTAGATTTGAATAATGTATCATAAAGTTATGCAATTGATTGTACAACCTAAGTTCAATGTTCATTCACTAAATAATAATCTACATCTATTTAAATTGAAGTGAATATATATCAGCATTAACTAGTCACAATTGATAGATCACTGAGTGATGATCAATGTCACGTGTGTCAAGTCCTTATTATTAGTGCAGATCGAATGCTATCCATCATGTTGCAATGTGGCCACCAGTCTAGGTGACTCAACACTGCGTGCACTATATATTGAGATTAGATGGTGGTTGGAGGTAGTCGACAGGAAATCCTGGATCCGGGTTTCATGCTACTTGGTGCTCGTCAGCAAGGTGTAGCTCTAATCTTGAGGGAACTAGTGCTCCCTGACGACATGACATTGATCGCCATCCAGTGATCAATCAATTGTGATCACATCTCAGTCCTACAGGAGGTCAGTCGTGGCCCGGATAGCTCAGTGGTAACTTCTCTGACTGTGAAGTTGGGTGACACGGGATCGGATCTGCCAGGGAGCACCAGATCCCTCAAGATTACAGGTACACCTTGCTGACGAGTGCCAAGTAGCACGAAACTTGGGTCCAGGGTTTCCTGTCGACTACATCCAACCACCATCTAAGCATTAACTAGTCTCTAGTGATCATCATATATACTATACTATACCGTTGTTACTGTATTAGTCTAATTGTCTTATGTATATTTCTATTTCTATTAATTCCAATTCGGAATACCTTCCGTTTGATCTTTTTTTAATGATAATCAGGTGAATGAGAATAAATTAATTCTTAATTTAAAAGCACATTTATAAATTTACGTTTAATTTACCTTTGCAGAAAGAAATTTATTGATTTTTCAATCGATTTTTACAAAGTGAAAACTATTTGTCAAAATAGATTTCGTAGTTAAATTCATGAATCGATGTAAGCTAGATCGTCATTGAAAACCTGAAAGCACTAGATGGTTATTTCGTCTTAGTATGGAACTCCTCAATAGCACTCATCCACGATCCTGAACCTGGGATTCGATCCCAGGATATTCGGTTCCGTGAGCGAACGCTTAACCTGTAAACCAGTGAGCCGACATCCAACGGTTTTAATGTTTAACTCCCATAAATCCATGAATTTTTGCGCAATCATTCATCCATTGTCTGAGGCAGGTACCTAAATCTACCCGACACTGATTGAACTCCACTGCTAAGGAGTTCCGTATTAGGAAGAGACGGCCGTCTAGTGCTTCCAGGTTTTCAACAGTGATCTAACATTGATCGATTCACAATCTCATCCAAAAATCAATAATTTCCACAACTCTATACTGATAATTCTATTTTTCATTTAAATAAATTAATTTATTGATTTTATAAACTGTAAGCACACATTAGATTATTGATTAACGACTAGTTTCATTGATTTGAATTTATTAATTGATTGAATATTTAAAAATGATGTGTAAGGTATCTCTATTATTATGGATATCTGTGGTAAACATTAACATCAGTAGCTAAAATGAGCATTTAGTTCTAGTTAAAATCTTCCCTTTAATCTTTACAGGCGTTTATTGTAGAATTCTGAGTTCTAGTCCCGCGTTCAGAATCCTAGATGCGCACAACTGAGGAATCCCATACACGGATGAAACGGTCATCCAATGCTTCTAGGTTTTCAATAGTAGTCTAGATTCAGTCGACTTGTGAATTCAACTGTTAAAAATTCTAAAATGAAATAATAATTCCTACATTTACAAAATGAACCGAATTTGTTGTAATTTAATAGTTGAATTCATAAGTCTACCATGGATAACCTGGAAGCACTGGATAGTTGTTTTATCCTAGTATGGGACTCCTCATTAGTGTGCATTCACGATCCCGAAGTTGTTTTGTTTAAAATAGAAACTGTGGAACTGTTTCACGTTTTTTAGAAAAAAAATATTCAAAGACCTAACTAAGTCTTTTAAGTAAACTACTAATTTACTATTATCTTTTTGAAATTATAAGTATTTCTATTCACTTGGTGTTCTTTACTTGTATCTCTTTAAGAGTTCAGTTGATCAGTGTCTTATTAGCATATGTGTATACTGTGCAGACTACCAACAAGAGACTGGTCAGTTGCAGTTATAAACAACAATGAGAAGATACAAGTAAACAACATCAAGTGAATATAGCTTCACTCCATTGCACAAGCAGGTGGCTATCAGGACTCAGCAGCCAAGTAGATAACGCAATGACGTTTGAAGCGAACAGTATTGGGTTCGAGTTTTGAAGTTAACATCAACTGTGGAATACAGGTACATCCGGCTGGAAAGTTTCAAATAGGATGAAACATATGTCCTGGATTTCACAGCTAACCACCATCCATCTTTGCATATAAGCAGTTCCGTTTATAACTTGGTAGAGACTACAGTGGTCTGTTTATAACTTTGAGTTCCCAGGTTGAAATCATGAGTCAATTGAATTTAGACCACCACGGAAAACCTGGAAGCACTGGATGTGCTGTGTCGTCCGAGTTTCGGACTCATCCGTGGCAGTGAGCATTCACGACCTCGTCTAGTGAGATTCGAATCCAGGACTTACCACTC